GTGTGTGTGTGTGTGTGTGTGTGTGTGTGTGTGTGTGTGTGTGTGTGTGTGTGTGTGTGTGCGCGCGCGCGCGCGCGCGCGTGCGTGCTCATACACACTCGCACTCTCCATTCCTCTATTTGTGGAAATCGTCACGTGAAAATTGGCCACGATGCCACGAAATTAAAAGTGCGCACGCATCGAAAGATGTATTCGGCTCGCCAAACGACCGGCAGCTGCTCGAAATTACCGAGTCGCCCATTAACTTTATTGAGATTTCGCTTTTAACAGATCGCCCCAGTCCGCCACGTCACACGAGTGACGCCTGTGTTTCCGTTACAAGTTGCGTCATTCGAAGCATGTAACATATGACGCTACATTTTTTCCCCCCCTCGAACCTCGACATTCGTGAATGAATGGTGTCACAGTCTATTCCCCGAGTCCTCACACTCGGATTATCCGATCTGATGACCTGATTCGTGGATTATTCACGTTATCAAAGTTCTCGATCTATTCTCGGGCTCGATTTGATTTCAAGATATTATGAATGACATTCCTTTTATATCCTTCTCGCTTCATAATTTACAATAATCTCATCCTACTGTTACAAACACTGGTACACTGCTGTTCAAAAGTTCACTTGTAAAGAAATGAAATTATAAAAGACACTTTTTTATTGATTGAAGATATAAATGTTTACGTGTGAATTAAAATGTTTAGACTCTCGGTTTTAATCTTCCGCGATTAAAACGGAAATGAAGAATCTTTTTTACTGTTTTGTTAATGGACGGGAAATCTCTCTGCATCACCCAAATTTTATCATCCGATAACGAACGCGTCATTTTTCCAACTATTGCAGATAAGCAGACAGAGCATAGACGCCTGTAAGGATTACTTCAGGGACGACCTGCTGAAGACCGATTGGCAGCTCATGGTGGAACTAAAGAAGCTCTTCCAGATACTCTAGGATACGATAAGGATCGCGATGGCGACATTATCCAAGGGCCTCTTGCTTTGCTAGGCGGCTGCTCGGCTGAGAATGCACGTACTCGTTGAACCCGAGCGAACGTCTCTTCGACCGTCATCGAGTCTTCTCGAGCGACGTCACCTCGACGTCGTCGCGAAATACGCATCGACGAACGCGGCATGCTCGTGACATCTATTCCACATTTCCCGATCGACACCTGTCCCATTTCCTCCTCGTGCAACCGAAAAATCATCGAAGATTCCATGACGTCGTCGAGGAGCATGCCGCCGGAGAAGAGATCCGAAGATGGCGGTCTCCGTTCGTCGACGTCCTTCGAGAACGATCTCGAGGACGATCGACGGGAAAGAGATGCGATCGCGTCGGATTTCCCGATTGCGTTCGGAGTATTTATGGGGTACCGCGAAAGCGGGCACCATCCCCGTATCTCGCCGACGCGAATAGGAAGACAGATTCGATATCGGAGAGGAAGCTTCTTGGAATTGTGCGATCGCGGGAAGAAGAGAGGATCACTCCGGATGAGACGACATCGCGGGTGGCAACGACGTTGTAGATACGCGGAAAGGGGAAGACGGGGCCGCGGAGAGGGGAAGAGAATGAGGGAGGAAAGGTGGAAGGTGGGGGTGAAGCTGAAGAATGAAATAATCGCGCGCGAGAACCTCGTGTGTTTTGTATATGTAATCTCTTTGTATAAGATAAGCGCAGTATTGCGATCGGAAAATAAAGACTATGCGTTTTCGCAAAAAAAAAAAAAGAAAATAAAGGAGAGAGATGGAGGGAAAAAAGAAAGTATCTATTTTATGCGATGATGCTTTATACTCGAGAACATTCATTCCGTGTCCGTTCTTTCTTGGTATCCGACTAATCCGTCCTGCCGAGAACGCACTATTTCGTGTATCCGATTTATTCGCAGTTAGGGGTAAGTATATCTATTTCTTAGAATACACTTGTATACAAGTAAAATGTTTTACAGTGACACATCTGGCAGGTCAAAATGCGATCATTTATTATTTTCAAGCTTAGATTTAAGAATTTTCTTCAAAAATGAAAATTTTCAATTCCCGTTCTTTCATTGATAACTTCTCTATTCGAATTTTTACAAAAAAAAAAAATACAGGAAAAAAGCACAGTTGTTTCGTTACAATCTGTCGTTATGGCAGCATAAGTCATATTTATTTAAATGATTGCCTCCTGCTGTCTTTTGAGAAACTTCAAAACCAAGGCTGCTAGACGTAAATATATTGAGAAATCGAACAAAACGTCCTTTGGAAAAAGAAACCATAGTGCTATTTGGACCCTTCTTTCGACTATCACCTCCATTACACGTCCCTTTATTAAGACTTTCGGCGATATGTACACCGACCGTGGGAACGTGCGTTTTTAATTGGCCGAGAGTGGCAATAACGCCGGAAAGAAACTCGAGAAATAAATCGACAACGACGAAGAAGAGGAGAAAGAAGAAGGAGGAGGAGGAGGAGGAGGAGGAGGAGGCGGAGGAGGAGGAGGGCAACGATGACGTGTAACGTTACGCAGTAGATCGCGTATCGTTCTCAAATTCTCCCGAGAGCCGCCCTCTTTAGCGCTACCGGAAGTGACAATAATAGGGCGTGAGTGTGTAAAATCGATCGCATTACGCGCGATCGAAGGAGTCGCGACGTCGGAAATCATTCTACGAAGTAGTCGTATACGTTTCCCCCGCAAAACGCAAACTCACTTACGTAAGTCGTAAGTCGAATTGATTTACACGACTCCCCTCGCGTCCCTCGTCACCAACTCGTCATTTCGTCTCGTGTGCGCCACTCTGACGCGTATTATCTCACATCGATATGCATCAATGTGTATACGCGTGTGCATGCGCACACGCGCGCATACACACCTGTGCGTTTCCTCTGCTGTTTCTTTCTCCTGTCGTCCCTCCGAACAACGTCCTAAATCGTATGTATGGTCGTAAGATACGAACCACCGACCAGCGCGAACAATCTTGTAGTAATCCTGGGCAAAATGATAACGCGAGAAAGTAAATTTTAACGTACACTATATTTGTATTTCTAGGATATAAAAAGATATCTTTGCGAATTTCTATTCCTGAGAGAGAAAGAGAAAGAGAAAAAAAAATTCAATTTTCTATGGCACTCCTAGGAAACTATATATTTCTCGAATTGAATTTGTTCAATCGATCGCTAATTGCTGACAGTTCTCCAAGTCGGATGATTGACAGGTCGATCTCAGCCGATTGAGGAACCGGCTCTTCCACGCCGTTCGAATCCGTTGCTGGTCCATGGAGCAGCAGAAAATCTGTCGTGTCCTTGCTGGGAGCAACCGAGAGCGCGAGTCGGCAGGCCGCGCTCAATAAACGCGCACGTCATTTCGAGTCATTCATGCATCTGCAGGTTGTCCTCGCATCTCTCTCTCTCTCTCTCTCTCTCTCTCTCCCTCTGCTCTCCTCTCTCTCTGTCTCTCCTATCTCTTTCATTGTAGAGTGTGCGAGTGCAACTGCGTTGCGCACGTGCATGCTTGCGCATGCTTGGCCGTGCAGCTCGCGTAAATTATCGTCCGGTTGACATTTACGCGAGATCGAACGATCGACGAATGGCGTCGCGACGCGATCTGTCGCCGTTCGAGTCCTCGCTAACATCGTTGTTAACATCGTTAAACGTGACGTGACGTGACGTGACGTGACGTGACGTGACGTGACATTCGTGGCAATTCTTGGAAACGCGGCGATATTAAAACCTTCCTTTTTTTTTTCCTCTCTTAGTCTTATCGCTTCGCCTCGAAAGAGGATGGACCGATAGGTTTCGAATTCCGTCCGATGCGACACGCGAGGTGTAAGTAAAGTCTGTGATATATACGATAACACAACGGGACGAGTCTTCGAAACGAGTCACCGGTTCTTGAAACGTGCGCTATATTTATCTCGGCGATGAAAGGAGGTTGTTTCAGAAGTGACGGTTTACTTTTGAGAACAGAAACGCTTCTCAGTCGGTCGGAATTATAATATGTCCGAAAGTTACGCGTACGGTACGTTGATACATTGTTGCGCTACAACACGTGTCTCAATGGGAAACGTAGTATATCAGCAAGTCGCGTGAGAGATCGTAAGAAAACATGAACGGGAGGCGCGGTGGGATGGGAGGAAGAGAATGTAATTGTGAAAATGAGGGTAACATTTCGCCATTGCTATTTCCGAGTACACTAACTTCTTTATACCGCCCGAATGACTTACTTAATTAGGGACAATTAACCTCCGCAATTGCTTGAAAGCGATGGTGCGGGAAAATACGTGGAGAGACAAAACAGGAGAAGGAGAACAGTAGTAGAACGTTTCTCCTTCTTTTTTCCGAACTTTACGTTACGCATTATCTTGCGGATGTACTGCGGGAGGAGGAATGCCATAAATTCAGAAGAAACGTCCTGAGAAATATCTTATATATCTTTTCCGGATTTTTCTCAAGTTTGTTATTGAGTTCCAACTCCGAGCTTTCCAAAATTCTACTAAGAATTCGTTTAGAATCCGGGATTAAGTTAAAATCTGAAGATTAGGCGATTGTCGAAAAATTGAAATGATTCATCGATCATTTGAGAAAAATATTTGAACTTGAATTTTGAAAATTTGCCGTTCATAAATCTACTTGACTCCGAGAATCCGAGAGGTACAAGAATTGTGGCAGAGAGGCCTACGGTAGGGTATCGCTCTGTGGAAAGGGATTTTTACGGATGATCAAGCATGAATTGCGGGACCTGGTGGGGCGCGTCCCTGTTCACGAAAAGTCTCGTCGTTGTATTTCACGCAGCGTAAAACTTCCGACCGTGAATGCGACTGTTCGTCGACTCATTGAGGACGCGCTGTTACGGCGCTATGAAAGAAGGGCGACGTTGGAGGGAACGGAGGGAACAGAGGACGAGGTGTTTCCAGGGAGAAGGACAGAGAGAGTGAGCGAGCGAGAGAGAGAAAGAGAGAGAGAGAAGGAGAGTAAGAGAGAGGTAATGCGATGGGGCTGAATGGAAGGGGGAGCGTTTCCACACCGGATATCCTCTCGAGGGAAGCGGTGCACGCGATTCGCATCGCCGCCACGCCCGTATGGTGTGTAGATATAAACGCCGCTCGTATTGCTAACAGTATAAATGGCCGAGGAAAGGCGGCCGGGGCTGCGACGATTGGATTGAAATTGTTCAGCCAACGCGAGAGAGAGAGAGACTCCTCTCACCGAGCGAGAGCGATGCAGGACGACGACGTATCGCGTGTCGTTCGCGCGAAATGTCCTCCCTTTTTTCTCACTGACACTCGTGCCGTAAATTCGGAAATGATTATCACAAATAATAATTCCCATCCATGACATAAACGTAATTTTATTTTATTACAACAATTTACAATGTAATATCAATTATATTAATGGTAATGATCGATGTAAAAATTGCATCAAAAATCCAACGTCAATTTATCTCGACGAAATTTTTTCCGTTCGAATTAATTGCAGATATTTTTCTTATTGTCGCCATTTAATTAATAGATTGATCTCGGAAGAATAATAATGTAAAATTGATACTGCCTCGCGATCTTCCGCGTTTTTCGTATTCGTCCGCGATGACTTTATACGTTTCGGAGAAGAAGCTTTCGAGTAAGGGACTCGAGTGAGAATCCCGCGGCGAACATATTCCCCGTAGCGTTGCGTGAATCACGAATCGGCTGATGAGCATCGTGATGACGACGACGACGAGAAGGAAGCGCGTTTCGTCGCTTCTCGGAATAAGGTATGTCATATTCCGCCTCTGGTTGCGTCCGGAACAACGTCGTTGTTTCGCGACGATTCGCCGAAGCGCGCATCGTCTCGGCGCACGACGACCATCACGAAGAAACGAATCGCAAGAGCCGCTTTTTGCGATACCAGATTTTCGATGTGATAAACAACGGAATCGCGCATACAATTAAGGATCTGAGGTACCTACTTTAGAGAATATAAATACTCATAAACGGATATGTATGATACTGCAAATTCATGTTTTTATTTTCTTATATATATAAAATTGTAAACCTC